CGTCCCGACTTCCCAGGAGGAAGGTGGGGCTGGAGACGGGCCCGGTCACCACGGACCAACGCCTCAGTCGGGCCTGTGTGGTCAGGCCTCCACAACCCAGGCCGCGCAGGGCTCGGAGCGCCTCCGGTGGGCGGCCGCGAGTGGCTCGCCTCTGGAGGGCACGGGGGTCCGAGCCCCTTCTCACACCTCGCTGACCCGTCTCTTCCACCTGGCTGTCCTCTGTATCCTTTACCGCACCCTTTTATGATAAACAGGTAAACGTGTTTCCCCGAGTTCAGAGACGTTCCTGCAAGTTAATGGAACCCGAGGAGGGAAGGGGTGGTCACGGGAACAGCTGGTCGGTCAAAAGCACAGGTGACAGCCTGGACTTGGGGGGGGCATCTGGAGTCAGGGGAGGCAGTCCCTTACCCTGCGACTGAGCCCTTACCCTGTGGGATCGGACGTTATCTCTGGGTAGATGCTATAGAATTGAGTGGAATTGGACAACTAGTTGGTGTCCCGGAGAATTTTTGCTTGGCATGGGAAAAACACGGTAGGGAGGACTGGGTGCGTCCTGCACGGGAACAGACCAAACGGGGCTTTTCTGGTAGCTTCCCATCCCTCTTACGGTACCTTTTTAATGGGATCCAACCGTGGCCCTCTTGTGTGCGTGGCTGTGATGAGCACCTGGTTTTCCTTGGCTTCAGGTGGTGCGGCTCCCGCGGCTTTGCTCCCCGAGGGTCAGCTGCTGCTGAGGTGGGTTCAGTTTCCCCCATCCACTTATCCACGTTCTTTTTTTCTCTATTTTCCCAATCCTGCTCAATTTCTACTGCACTCCCAGCAGTTCCTCCGCAGTCTGGGGCCCTAAGAAGGAAGCCTGACGGTGAGTCTGAACAACCTCCTCTGCCATTTCCTCATTTAGCCATCTTAGCGGGCGTGAGGTGGCACCTGATTGGGGTTTTAGTTCGCATTTCCCTCATCACTATGGATTGAGCACCTTTTCATATGCTGAGCTAGTAATACATGTTTGGTGAAAGGTCAACTCAAGCATTTTTCCCATTTTAAAAATCGGGGCATCTTTTATTACTGAGTGTTAAGCACTGTTTATACTCTGCACTACGTCTGTGGTTCACCTTGTCATCACTCGGTGGTGTGCTCAGCAGAAGTTTGTAATTCATTCAACTGTTATGACTTGTTCTTTTAATAGTTAAATCTTTACCTAATCTGAAGTCATGAAAATTGTCTCCATTTTCCTTGAAATTGTTTCCAAAACTATAAAGTTTTGGTTTTTCTGTTTAGATGTATGACTCACCTTGAAATAATTTTTGTGTATGCTGTAAGGTAGGGGTCAAGTTTCATTTTTGTCTATACGGATATAAAATTATTCCAGCACCATTTGGTATAAAGATTTTTCTTTCCCCAGTGAATCATACTGACTCCTTTGAAACAATCAATTGCTCATATACGTGTGGGTCTATTTTGTTCCACCAATCAATTCATCGTCCTTGGGTCAGTATCATAGCCTTGAATTGGTCCAATTCCTCCAACTTTCTTCTTTTCAGAATTATTTTGACCACTCTAGTCCTGTGTAAATTTGAAAATTAGATTGCTAACTTTGGCAAAAAGCCTACTGGGATTTTGATGGAGAACAGCATTAAATCTGTAGATCAAATTGTGGAGAATTAACATTCTTATACCAAATTTTCTAATCCGTGAATATCAGATAGTCCTCCATTTATTTAGCTTTTCCTTAATTTCTCTTAGCAATGTTCTGTACTTTCCACTGTACACACCTTTTTATATTTTGCTGCTACTGTGAACTTCAATTGTAACAGCATTATTTTCCATTTTGAACTTTGGTTGCTGCCGTACAGAAGTCCAATTCATTTTTATATTCATCTTCTCTGTGTGATCCTGCTAAGCTCCCCTACGCTGTATTTTCTGAAAACTCCAATTTTCTGCACATTTGATCGTAGTCTGCAAAGAGCTTTACTCCTTCCTTCCCAAGGCACTTGCCTTTCATTTATTTCCCTTGCCTGTTGCATGGGGCATGGCCTTCACTACAAATGTTGGAGAGTGTTAGGTGCAGGCATCAGCCTTGCTCCTAATTCAGTCTCTTTCTTTCTGTGAGCCTACGTCTCGTGTTTTCATAGATAACCTTTATCAGGTTGAGGAATTTTCATTCCATTCCTAGTTTGCTGATTTTTTTATTATAAATGGATGTTGAATTCTGTCCAACTTCTTTTTCCTGCAAGGTCATGTCTGTTTCATTATCACAAACCACACTGATTCTCTAATGTTAAAGCAACTGTTTCTGGGATAAAACTCATTTGTTCATAATCTATCATTTTTCCCATATTGCTGAATTTGGTTTGCTAGATTTTTTCTTATGTAAGGCAGTTGTTCTTTACTCATGAAGGATACTGGTCTTGAGTCTTCTAGTATATACTGCTTTTAAAATGAACAATTAAGGCTTACTCATAATACCTACTCATAATACCAAGATTTCACAGACGTTTTCCAGAAGAGGTTGTATATTATTGGTGTAATTTTCCCCTCCAATTTGATAGAATTCATCAGTGAAACCATCTGTGCCTACAGTTTTCTTTGTGGGAAGGTTTTTAAACTATAAATTCAATTTACTTATAATTATATGACTACTCAATTTACTTGAGTGGTTTGTTTAAAAGGAATTTTTCCATTTCATTTCTGTCAGATTTATTGGCATAAACATGGTCATAGTCATCCCTTATCTTTCATTAAAAATGGAATTTTTTACAGGAGTTTCTATTTCATAGTAAAATGGAACAGAAAGTACACAACACAGCTCCCCATCACCACCCCACATCAGCAGAACCTGTTACCTCTAATGAAGCTACATCATCTCAACCCAAGTTCATAGTCTACACAAGGGTTCGCCCTTGGTGGTCCAATCTGTGAGTCTGGACAAATGTACGACGGCATTGCACCCAGGACAGCATGAGACTACAGTTCAGCGTGCCAAGAATCCTGGGCGCCTGTTCATCTCTCCTTCCCCCGCCTTGACAACCACTGATGTTATTTCTGCATGACTCTGCCTTCTCCAGAATGTCACACACGATGTAGCTTTTTCGGATTGGCATCTCTCCCTGAGTGGTATGCATCTAAGGCCCATGTCTGCTTGCGGCTGCAGAGCTCCTTTATTCTTAGCAAGGAGCAACACTCCATTGTCTTGTAAACAGTCTCCCCATTCACCCACTGAAGGGTGTCTTGGGTACTTCCAAGTTTGGTGATTACGAATAAAGCTGCTGTAAGTAAGATTCATGTGCAGGATTTTGTATGGATAAGTTTAAATTCCTTTGGATAAATACCAAGAAGCTTGATTTTTGGATCGCATTGGTAAGGGTGTGTTTAGTTTTGTAGGGAACTTTCTTAACTTCCTCCAAAGTGGCTGCACCATTTTGCACTCCGAGCAGCAATGAGTGAGAGATCCTGGGGCTTCTCAATCCTTTTTAACATCTGTAGAATCTCTAGTAAGGTTGTTGTTCTCGTTCCTGATGCTAGTAATTTGTCTTTTTATCAGTTTCATTGATTATTTGTAATCCTAGCTTTAAATTTCATTAATTTTCTCTATTGTTTCCTTTTCCACTCACTTCTGTTCTGACACCACTTCTTCTGCAACTCTTTGCTCTCCTAACTCAGCTCCTCTCTCCTTGTTAAGGTGGATGCTTACATCATTGATTTCAAGCTTTTATCCTCTTCTAGTATATACATGCTTATTAGTGCTGTAAAATTTCCAAGTACTGAGTTAGCTGCTTCCTACAATCTTTTGCTATGTTGTATTTTCATTTTCAGCAAGTTCAAAATAGTCCTGATTTCTTCTGTGACACACAGGGTATTGAAAGTATTTTCCAGGTTATCTCCTTTTTACTGTTGTTATTGGGACTTAATATCCCAGAACATGACCTAATCTTGGTACATTTTTCACATATACTTGAAAAGAATGTGTATTCTGTGGTTGGAGAGTGTTCCATAAATGCTGCTTATGTCAAGCCGCTTGCTAGTACTATTCAGACTGTCTGTATCCTACACTTTTATCAGTCACTGAGAGGTGTGCTGAAATCTGTTACTGTAACTGTCAGCAACGTCTTTCCTAGCAGTTCTATCAATTTTTGTGGCATGTGTTTTGAGGTTCTGTTATAAGGTATGTAAATGTTTGGGGTCATGTCCTCTTAATGAATTGACCCTATCATTATGTAACAACCCTCTTTAGTAATATTGTCTAATATTAATACAGCTATTCCAGATGTCTTTTAATTAGTGTTCAACATGCAACAGTTTACCTTTTAGAGTGAGTTTCCTGGGGACAGCATAAGTTGGGTCTTGCATTTTTATGTCCAATCATCTTTTCTAGAATGGCACACTTAGGCCCTATGATATTTGGTGGGGTTAAAGATTCTGTTGGGTTTAAATCTACCATCTTGCTGCTTTTTGCCTTCTATATCTGTCCTTCAACTTCCAAGACCAGATGTACATGGTACATAAAGCACCCTGTAATATGAGACTGTCCCTTCTGAGATCCTGACCTCTGTACCCAGCTGCCTGACAGCTCCAGCTGGATGGTTCACAGGCAACTTTATCCAAACTCATGTAGTTCAAGCTACGAAACTGAAACTCCCCTAAGGTCCTAGGGCTGCACCGCTCCTTTGCTTTAACTGGTTCATCAGCACAACTGCAGAAGAACACAAGTGTATTGCACACCTAGGACGACTCAGACCAGAGGCCCCGATAGAAGAAAAAAGGTATAGCATTCAAAAAAGCCTAGGGAAATAATCGAAAGGATCCTTTATTTTAAATGTAGACAGTACCATAATTCATCAAAATAATTTATAATAGTTATCTGCCTCTTAAATATAATCTCATAAATGATGCCTTCTAAAGTTAAAAGTAATATAGATTCAATCCATTTAAAATTATCCATTTAGAACATAATAGGAAGTAAAAAACAGTCTCCTAAGAGAGGAAATAATGACAAGTTCTGATCAGACAAACGCCATTCCTTTATTAAAGGGAGTTAAAAAGAAGCATAAATAAGTGACTGAAGTGTGAGTTTCCTAGAGTTAATACTATATTCCGGTTTCCCACTGTAAGTAAGGAATATCTCAACAGCAGCTTAGAAGTGCCCGTAACGTCTTGGTGAAACTTATCTCTTCACCCCCCGACGCTCACTCAGCGCCCCACCTTCTCGTGCCTCTGTGCCTTATTTCTGCTGTACTTCCCAGGCGTCTCCATAGAGGACAGGAAAATGCTCATCCTCTCTAAGATGGTTCCACCCAGTCAAGAAGTCAGTGCAAGGTCCTCCTGCACCAGCAATGTTCTTTCTCAAGCACCACACACACCTTACAGAGGGGGCAGAGCGTGATGCATGAGCACCCCAGCCATGCCATCCACCTTAACCTTCCAAGTGCCACTGCTGAGAGGAGGAGCCATCACAGATTGCCATAGCAACAAAGCCTTTGGGACTCAGTGGATCGACCACTCTCAGGCACTGTCCAGCTGACACCTGGTATAGCCGACTGTTCTTCTGAAAAAAAGAGGCGGCAAGAAACACACCACCTGTTACTGCTTTACCCTCAAAAACGTACTGCCAGAGTGTGAAGAAGATGATGCAGAAACCCAGGAAAGACACAGCGCCCCCTCCCCTCCCTCAGCCTCGTCTGCCCCCTCGCAGCCTCCCACCGGCGCTGAGCAAGCTCCTCACCCCAAAGGTCCACTGCTGGGATCCTCCGGACCCGTGGCACTTCATGAGTCGCGGTGGGTCTGATGAGCGAGTTTCTGGCATATCGAGGCACAGGAGATTGCTTAAAACCAACTCATGCTCTTCATTATAAATCCAGATCTAAGGAAGAAGAAAAGAGATCAAAACTCCAAGTTTTGCTTTAGATTCTGGAATTCACACATTTGTGGAAGAATGGGTTCACTCTGGTCTGTTCTTGTTTTATGAGATGATACAGTGAACTAGGTAGGAGTTATGTGGAAGCGTTACCAGCTGAGTTATCTGAAAATGAAGTGAATCCAGGAGAAAGTGAGGTACAATTCTGGGAGAGACCTAAGCAGTGGCTGACTTTTATTAACTTCGGTCAATCGAGCAATTGTAGACACTTTCCAATTCTAGGCCCTCACAGTTACATGATGCTCTTGATTCCTAGACTCAATGGGGACCAGGAGCCCAGTGGGCCTGCTGGTCAGCCTTCTATAGGCGGAAACACACAAGACTATCGTGTTTATATTTCCCTCATCTGTGGGGCAGTGACGATGCGCACAAGCTGTTACCTCACGTTACCTGTGGAATGTCACAGCAACATATGGACTGAGATTATGATTTCGTATTGATGGCCCAGAAATGGAATTTTCAGGAACAAAAGCCTAAAATTGGCTGAGCTGGACAAGTGTGATGAATAATTAACATGCACCACCACTAAATCCATAGAAATGCTTTTCTTCTATTCTTTGAATTATTTTACTCATTGTTGCTCCCACCTACAGGCTCAAAACGTATGTGTGCGACCCCCACTAACATGGCAGAGATTCTCTACCAGCGCTACAATACACCTTTTGGCAATGCTGCTAAAGTTTTATACTCTGTGCTGGGGTGTACCTGGGAGCCACTGGCCACATGTGTCTCATGGAACCAAGAAAATGAAAATAACTGAAACAGCTACATGTGGCTACTGTATCAGCACAGTTCAAAGGACCCTACTTTCCGGTTTTGAGTGACACCATCCTGCCATGCAAGTTAAAATGAAAATTTTTATGACATGTTTGAGCACTGCAGTCTGGAGACACTACAACTAAGAGATTAAACACTGTTAGGTTGTGCTGTATTATTTTAACAGATACAAATCATTTTGAAATTACAGTTCCAAACTGAAGTAACTTTTATGCTTAAGTCTACTATCACTGAAAATATATGAACTGGGATTAAGTTACACGAATGAACTGAACGGAACTTTTGTTGTGGCTTCCCCTCTGATGAACTACTAAGGCAGGGAAATAGGATTTCAGAGAAAACTGTGCATTAGATGAATCATCTTTTGTAGATTTAATGTTCTTGTCCAGAAAGAAGGCATACATTTGTTGCCATTTTTAACACAGAGGCAGCACTCAATTTACTCTGTATGATTCAAACTCATTCTATATGATTGGAAAATACAAATAATGCTCCTAACAAATGCTACTATGACAGTAAAAAGAGGTAGGAAAATTCATAAGAAGAAAACTTGTATTAGATGATCTCAAAGTCATCGCCAACTTAAAACCATACAGTTTAAGGTAAGTCGGATTTAAATGTTGATGCCACCCCTCCCTCCTCAGGTGTGACTGCCAGCAACTTCCCAGGAGTGGCTGTGAGCCCAGAGGTATCACGCACCTGGTGTGGGTCAGCATAGTCACACGCCTTGAGCACTACAAGGCCTCCCTTCTGGCTTGGGCGGCCCTGCGCCGCTAGGCACTTGCCGGTCTGGAGGTGGTAGAGCTGTAAGAGAAGAGACTGGTCTTCACAACCCAGCATGGCAAGACAGACAGCGGTCAGAAGGTGCCTCAGCGTGCCAGGTAGATGCTAGAGGGGGCCCTGAACAAAATACAGAGATACCCCTCACTTCCGGCCTCAGTCCGCAGGAGTGTCAGGGTAGAGACTCCCGGTCAGAGGCATTTCAACAATATAGGCACGTACTGCGTCAAGTAGAAATCCTACCTTACGATACAAGTTTACTGATTTACTATAAGGGAGGAAGGAAATTAGAATATCACTTCTGCCCTAAGGAACCTTAAAATGAAATCAAGAAAATAAAAGGTATAAACCAGACAGTACATAATTGAAGTATTTATCTCCAGCTTAGCATATATAGTACAGATTATAAATGTCATAGGAACTCCCACGGTGAGATACTAAAAGCAGCAAAGAATATCTACTCTGGGCCGAAGCATTCCGTTACATATTAAATTAGATGTGCACGGCAAGAGTAATGGCAGGAAGGGATTTCAACTATATACACATCCATAGGCACCTATTTTACTTAAAGAGGAAACACCTAATAAACACCATGATCTCTTTTTTTAATCTTAGAAGGTAAAGAGAACAAGAAGGGGAAAACGCTGGGCTTAATTCTAGCCACCGAGGAAGAGCTGGCACGGTCCGAGGCCCTTGAGGAGGGGTGCCTCCATCGCACCGAGAAAACCGGCTACAGTTAGACGGTATTTATACTTGCCTTTCAGAAAGCAAACTCTAGGTGATTCGGGGACAAGGAATGGTTTGGAGGCCAGGCCCCTAAAATGTAAACATGATTACAGAGCTGAAGAAATTCTGTAAGAAACAAAAGGGAACATGTACAGAAGTGCGCCGCTTCGGTGGGTTCCCTGCTAGGCTCAGGCGGCTGCTGCGCGCCCCCGCTGCCCACCCGCGGCCGGTAGGAGCCAGCCGCCCTTTCCCCTTGTGCTCTTCTCTGGGCTGCTCTCTGCCACGAGTGTTACTCACTCCTTTCGCCTCTACATTATATCTACCCTCTCGGACGCGAGCATTAACTTATAGACGTCATGCTCCTCAGGCTCCAGGTAATGCTGGCAGGTTGAAGGGTCTTAACAGTGATGACACTTGAGAAAGTGCCTATCAAAGAACATAGCGGAAGGCAAGCTAAAGTCTGTCATCAAACACTTAACATACAAGGTCACTTAGTACACAACTTAAACATTTGGTAAGATGACTTCCTTACCCTTCCACGCTGAAGGACTTTGGGGCGTTTGGGCCCTCTATTGATGAAAATGGGTTGCTGAGGTTTGGCATTGGGTCCAGCTATCTGCATCTCTGGGTAAATATTATCCAAATACCATTTAAATGATTTACAACCCAATTTCTTCCTCAACTCAACACGCTCACTGATATTTCCATAGCTTCTGGTCCTCAGGTCAGGTCTTAAGGAAAAATACTGCTCCTGGATTTAAAAATGAAACAAGAAAATGGATTTTTGTTTGTTTGTTTAAAATGTAAAGAACGGATTATAAACAAAAATATTTTTCATGCCAGTGTTTTCCTGATGTTGCCAGGAAATGTCAATGGCAAGTTTTTACAGTTAGTTCCATCACTGACAAGGTGAGACATTCAGTATGTAAGGCACGTCCCACGGCGACTGCAGTGGGAGGGGGGGGACTGGATGACGCGGGTGAGCGTGGTAGTCACAGTGTTGCTCGGGTGAAACCCTCATTAAGATTGTCTATCAATGATACCTTAATAAAAAAAAAAGACACGTACCAATTCAGAACTGGCAAAACCTGTAAAAACTGTGCATCTCAGAATTGAAACAGACTATGAGATTAGCATTCTCAAACTGTATATTCTTAAAAATTATTGAAGATTAATGAGGTTCTGTTCATGTGAGTTATAGCTATTGATATTTATCATATCAGAAGTTCAAACTGACAAATTTAGAAACATTTAATTCATTACCTATGTACATTAATTAGCTTTGAACAGAAAACTGGCACTGCATTACATTTTGGCAAATTTTTACAACGTCTGGCTAAAAAGGAGTTCTCATGTCTGCGTTCAGCCTGTTACTGTATGTTGGTTGAATATATTTTTAAAATATGACTGTGAAAACATGCAGTTTAAAATGGAAGAAATATCTTAATAGCAGTTTCAGATAATTATGGCTGTTCTTTGATCGTACACTAAAACAGTATGAAATCCTATCATTGAGTTTTTTTGTGCTTTTGAATGGATCTTTTATCTATGCAAGAGGTCCACTGGGTTGTAGTTTTTCTCAATACTGACAGATTTCACTATCCAATATAAAAATATATATATTCATAAATATTTAACTGCTGATCTCATCAGAAAAGTTTTTAAGTAATGGGAAGCTGTCAAGCTCATGGTGGTAGATACAAGTTTTCCAAAATTCTAATTTTCACCTGAAACTTAGAGTTTATCATTTCCAACAGGTGCTGCCAGTTGTCTGGAGTGACAGGCTCAGGTGGTTTGTTTTGAAATGTCTATCACACACCCAAGCATGAATAATGACGGTCTGAGTCCTTCGTTAACATAAAGAGTGTGCCGTGGAGCAAAGTGGCTAGTCCAGCACACACGGCACAAATGGCTCTCCAGAAACAAGCATTGAGTCCCCATCACAGCAAAAGTGTGTTCTGTATACTGGACATGCAGACTCACCCAGAATACTAAGACATGCTACGATTTAATGCAACTGTTTCCTCAACAACATTCTGAGAAGAAACAGATTTTTTCTTTTCCTACATCTGGTTGGTCTGGCAGCGAATGGCATCAATGTGAACATGGTGAAAATGGTAAACACTGTGCTGGTCTGACTCTGGAAGCAGCTCTGGCGCAGTAGGCCTTGTCAAAAGTTGGCCAGGGATGTCTGTGGGCCACATTTTGAGAGCTGCTGTGTTAGACCTTATGACTCAGAAGATGATTAGCATGGAGTTGGCCTAAAGGAGCCCAGAATTTAGAGGAGGGGGAGCATGGCAGTGTCCCTTCCTGTCCCCCATCTTCTGCCCCCGGCAGTTTGCCATTTCCTCCTCCTTGTTTCACAGTGTTAAAAACGACTGTGTACTTCCTACTTCCACAGTCACCTGTGTATCCCCCGAAACCTAACAGAGCCTGGTATATAGTAGGTGCTCAATGACTGCTTAAAAAAAAATCAGTTACACACAAATGTTCACAGCATTTTTCATGACATTCATAAGTGGATAAACAGATTTTGGTATGAATATTATTCAGCAATAAAAAGGAACAAAGTAATGCCTGGCACAGTACAAATGAACCTGGAAGCATGCTAAGTAAAGAAGACGGTCACAAAAGACCACAGACTGTACGATTCCCTTGGTATGAAATGTCCAGAATAAGCACCTCCAGGGAATCTAGTGGTTGTCAAGGCTGGGGGATAGTTGAAGGATGTGGAGTTTCTTTTGGGGGTAAAAAAATGCTCCAAAAACAATTTGTGAATTACACAATAAAGCTGTGGCGAAGGGCGTAAGAGAAAGAAGGGATGCCACATGTGCAGTCTAGCAGGGGAAGCCACGGGTCCGAGATCACGGCAAAGCCAAATGACCAGAAGAACAGAATTCTGTGGGAGTTACAGGACAGGAACCAGAAGGAATAAGGAAACTACAGAGATAATTTCTTCTGTTGTATCATATTCATATCGCCTTTTACGGAGTGGCCACTTGAAAAATTAAGAGGGTCAGGACAAAAAAATGAATGAAATACTGGGTGGTGAGAAGAGAGGAAAAGAAACCCAGGAAGAGATGGCCCTAAAGCAAAGGTCACTCCAACAGGAACCACAGGAGCAAAAAGGAAGGCGACCGTGGCCATCGCCACGGAGTGACCGGCCTCTCACTCACCCCCTACAGATTCCATCTCACCTTATATTCATCCAGCCAAACGTGTGCCAGCCTCAAGGAGTTGTGTGTCATGGTGTCCTGGCCTTCAGGAGACCCATATGGTCGCCTTTTTCGGAAAATGTGTCCGACTCTGGAGCAAGGGATGATGAAGAGCCCCCCTCCGCACATCCAGATCTGGGCGGAAGCAAAGTGCGTTAATAGCCGCCTCTCATTGCTATGGAATCAATGCATGAATCTTCATGAAATTAATCTTTATTAAACAGGTGTTTATGAAACTTTCCAAGCTGTTTTATTAGACACAACTATTCAAATACAAAGATATAACTATTCAAATACAAGAAAGCCACAGGGTACATTTAAAGAATTATTTGCCTTTATAATTGTTTTCGGTGTAATACTCCTCACTACCATGTGTCAAAAATTGCACTTACCATAACACTGTTGTTTTAATAAATTAAGGAACTTGATCTTTGGGACTTGGGAATAAAGAATGCTTATTACCAACTGGTCCATCCATCCTTACATACATTTTTTTGTAGAAAAATGCTTTTTATAAAATATACATAATGCTCGACTGAGATTCAAAAGATATGGTCTACATTTTGCTCTTGACTATCTGAGTTTATAGTTTCATTTTTGTAGGACTCAAGAATTACCGTATCTATAACATAAGACTAATTATATTTTATTATTTCAACTTTAAATCTAAAGGTTATTAGGAAAAACTGCCTTTTAAAAACACCATGGTTAATATATGTACAGAAATACAAACTGCCATCTGGGCCTGGAGACGGAGGCGGGAAGGGGAGGTCTGGGTCCTTCTCCCTTCTTCCTGCCTTTTCCAGACACTGTCCTAACAGACGCTGCCCCTACAATCACTTTCCAACTTAAGCAACTGCAGAGGTGGGCAGACCATGAAAGGTGACTTTTTTCCTCAGGTTGGAGGTGCCTGCACATATAAAGGATTCAGGAAGCTATGTATATACACATGGGCTGATGATGTAATTTTACATAAAAATTATAAACCAGGATACTTCTGAAAGTAAAATGAGGAGCTATGAATTTTTCCGGAATCCATGTGAACCAGGATGGTCCTAGGCATCAGGGAAACCTGATCCCCTAACTATACATATCCAGGGTTTTCAAGCAAGATTACTAAACTGACAACAAAACTCTAAATGCACATTAAGGCTTAAGAATTGATAACCAACCATCTTTTTGACATTCTGAATCGACATTTTCCAGATCTTAAGGTAAAGTAGCATTCATTAAGGACAATGTTAATTAAGAAAATCAAAGAGAATTTATAGAAAACATGGATCATGGATGAAAATTGTATTCCACTACAAAGTTAATAATTAAGCATGAAAAAAAATTACCCGAAATGATATTTCTAAATTTTCTCCTCCCCAGATATCCATGCCACTGTCATACTGTCCAAGTTCATTGAAATAGTGTCTGTTCATGGCAAACAATCCTCCAGCCATTGTGGGTGACCTAACAAAGGAAAATAATTACTGTGCCAATTCTATAGAGTCCATTAGGCGCTGTTTTTGTTTTTAAGGTTTTAGTGCAGCTTTGGAACACTACTAATAAAAACTAGGTTATAAGCGAATGAGCTGGGCCACATAACTGAATTTTTTACGTTGCTCATGATATATATGCTAGATACCTGGCAAATGAAGGCTACTTTTTTCTAACTATCAGCAGTACTTTTTAAATTATAGCCACTGTTGACAGAAATCTATCTGAAATAAGTTATTTAATTCCTTCTGACAGTCTACAGAGCCACTGGGATGAAAATTAGACTCTGGAGCCTGCCGGAGGGGGACCGAACAAGTCAGCACCTCGACTGGATCCACACGCGTCAGGTCAGCGGCTCTCAAATAGGATGGCTCCGTCCCCAAGCAAACATGTTAGCATCTGGAGACATTTTTAGCTGTCACAACTGGAGCCAGGAGTGCCCCTGGCATCTGACAGGATGAAACCAGGGATGCTGCTAAATATCCTGACATGTACAAGACAGTCCCGCACACCGGACAATTATCTGGCCTAAGATGCCAGTGCTGCCGAGGCTGAGAAACGCCGTGTTAATAAGGGGATTTGAAGTCAGCTCGCCCTTCCAGAGATGCAAGGCCAGCTTACTTCCTGAAACTGGGGATTCATGGATTCTCGTCCCAAATTCTGCCTACCAAAAGTGAAGCAAAATTTTCTTTGCAAGAAATCATCCTGGCTATGAATGTATTTTTCACATACATCTGGAACTGAACAAAAAAATGAACAAATAACCATGCAATCAGGAACAAAAAAAATCACATGAAAGAAAAAAGTAATCTACAACAGAAACAAATGTGCAGGGGTTTCAAATCACATAGTTATCAGGTATAGACTTTAAAATAACTATTCAATATATTTATAAGGATAAAAGACATGTTTGAGAATTTGGCAGATAATTAGATGCTACCAAAAAAGAAGCAAATTATACCTATCTGAAAAACACTGCAAACAGGTAAGAACAGAAACAAATGTAAGCAGCCAGTGGAAGAGGCCACCTTCAAAGGAAACAAAAACAAGGCCGTGAACACAGGAAGCCAGAGGTTCTTGAATGAAACTTTCGAAGTTCTGGATGAATGTATCTGCCAACCCAGAAAGGGACATCAAGTAAAATTATTCTTCAAAATAATGGTGAAACAGAAAAAGAGTAAGAACCAGGAGGTCCAACCCCAGGACATACTGAAGTATGTTCTTTAGTCAGAATGAAAACAGTCCCAGACGGGAGTCTGCCGAGGCAGGAAGAATGAGTGACATAAAAGAAGTGGGTAAACCTAAATGAATAGTTACATAAAAAACGTAGGTTTATAAAATTCACACATAACATGCATTTCAACAATGTAACTTGAGGGGGAATAACGGAAGTATGAACATTGAGATTATTATGCTGTTTGCAGAAACTACCAATTTATATTACACTTTGGTTAAGTCAAGGGTTTGTGTTGTATTCTCTAGGGAAGCCACAGAACAGTATGTATAACATCTAATAATGGGCAGCAGTTGGGAACATAACAATAATAAATCTGAACTCAGACCAAAAGGCAAGAGAAGAGAAAAAAGAACACAGAACACATAGATATGCAAACATACCACTGTAACCATAAACACAAAATTTAAGTAATAGCAACTGAACACCCTAATTAAAGGATATAGTTTTTTACAGTGGTTTACAAATAAATCATAATAAAACAAAAGCAACTATATGCTGCTTGCAAGAGACACACCTAAATATAAGACTCTGGAAAGACTGGCAACAAAAGGGAAGAGAAGTCCTACAAGGAACACACTAACCCAAACAAAGCTGGAACAGCCACATCAATGTCACATGGTACAGCAAAAGTTTCACGAATATAAAGACAATTTATAATGATGAATGGTTTCATTCACCAGAAGATTTAATAATTCTAAGTTTTCATGCATCTATTAACAGACTCAAAATATATGAAAATGTATGAAGGCACAAATACACCATTGTGGGAAACGTTAATACCATATTCAATAACTGATAGAATATTCAATAACTGATAGAATGTAAATTTGGTAAAAATATGTAATATTTGAATAACAATAAATTTGACCAAACCAATACAAAATCCCATCTTTAAGAGCTGCAGAAAATACAAAATTTCCAGTTACACAAAGGATATTTACAAAAAGTGCTCATACACCAGACCATAAAGCAAACCTCGCCAATTTCCAGAGGATTAAAATCATTTAGAGTATGTTCTCTGACCACAGTGTAAGTTATCTAGGAATAAATAACTATAAAATCTCTGTATGTCTGGAAAATAGTAAATGTACTGCTTAATAACCCACAAACAGAGGAAACATCTCAATGAAAATACTGTAAAATAAATGATAAAAAGTGATATAATTTGTGGGATGCAGCTAAAGCCATGATTATTAGAAAATTATCTTGAATACACGTATTAGAAAGAAGTTGAAAGTTTTAAAAATCTAAATGTCCAACTCAAGAAGTTAGCAACACTGAAATAAAAGTGAAATAGTTCATAGAAGACAGCGGAGAAAGAGTGGAACAGAAGTGGAAGGAGAAAGGGGGGCACCGATGTCCTCACCATACGAGGAGGGGTGTCAAGTGATGCCGTCAGAAGTCAGCAGAGGAAGTGACAGAATTCTCTCAGGTTTCAAAGGCACCAGCCAGCACACCGCCAGCAAGAGCCACAGCGGCCCCAGGAGCCGAAGGGGGCGGCGAGCTAGCCGCGCCTTCGCGGCCCTGCAGGGGGTGCACAGCTGGCGCGACGCTGAAAAGAGGGATGTTTATGATCGAGTTACGGGGTAAGAAACGAAAGACCAGAAATAAAAACAGTTCAAGGAATTTGCCTCTGCGGAAAAGGGCTGAGAATAGGGAAGAAAGGCTAGAACCCGCCAACCTCACATCCTGGGCTCTCCTATACTATTTGTTATTGAAAACATGGTTTTAACTAAAAATATTAAAAATGAAAACAATGAAAACCAATGCCTATGATGATAATGGGAAAGGCAAAAACTGGCAGCTGCACAGAAACTAGAATGAGAACACACGGACAGCCTGGGGCCCCTGCCCTGGTAATGGTGAACACAAAATATACCTACTGGACCACACTGACCCCACCTTCAGAGAAAGACAGACAACCCAAAAGTGTAGGAAGAAATGGAGTCGCCACTACTGCTACCTGCCTCCAGTCGCCCGGCATGAGCTTGTAGAGGACAGAAACCCAGATGCACCGTCCCCAGAGGCCACCCTGCCCCAAGGTGTGCTCCGCACCTAACTCAGAGCTAGAGAGCCAGGAGGAAGGCGGTGACTCCACTGACCCCCCCGGCAGGTAACGTAAGGGTCTCAGGCATGGGGAGACACCTAAGAGCTGGCCGTGCTTTTCTCACGGGCCTCACAAGGCACTGCCTGAGACCTGCTCCCACAGCCTGCAGGGAGCAGAGGCGAGCCTGCTCTGCAGTGCAGCTCGGCACCTGGAACCGACCGACATCTCAGCCTCCCCTGCGAGTCTGGTTCACATGAAAGAAGCTGGCGAGCACCCAAAGGCCAGCTGAGGAACGGGGGCAAAGTTCTAGTTCCTGAGGTGCTGGGAAAACATGATGTAGTCAAGGTGGACAATGGCAGCCCCACGACCAGGCAGTTCACGGCTGCACACTGAAAACCACGGGTAAGAATGCTGCTGACAGCATGTTGTAAACAGTAAAAAAAACCACTGAGAACAACCTAGCCTCCCCACCAACAGTGAACTGGGTAAGTCATGATATGTCAACGGAACAGAACACCACATGGCAATGCAAGCGAACTGCCATAGCTGCGTACCGCACCACACGTTAGTCCTAAAGCGATGCTGAGTAGAAGCAGCCAGTACCAAACGGCAGGTCCCACGGCTGCATCTGATGTCCAAGAGCAGGCAAAACTGTCTGGTTTAGAAATGCATACACAGGTGGCAGAACTACAGGAAAGCGAGGCAGTGATCAGCAGGCCAGGGTAATGGCCTCTCTTAGGGACAAGGGCAGGTGGTGTGACCAGGAGGGGCTGTGTGGGGGACAACTGGGTGCTGTTTCTTCCCCTAGGAGGTAGTTATACAGTTGTTCACATTAGAACCATGGATTAAACTGTATGTACATATACATGTGTGTATTTTTTATGTATGCTATTTTTCATAAGAAAAAAAAATTTTTAAGTAGGTCCAAGAACTTTAAAAAGAATAGACAAACCTCTGAAATCTACTTTAAAGAGAACAAAAATAAAAAGAAATAAGATAAAAGCAAGTTTATAATATTAGATAATATGGATGAGAATTGAAAAATAAGTCATATACTATGACTAGTAGCTGTACTAGCAGGAATCTGTCTAAAAATCTTAGTTACTGAAAAGGCTTGTGTAATAAAATGTTCTTCAAAGCCCCACCCACAGGAGCCAGGAACTGCAGTCAATGTCCAAGGCAGTGGAGCATGGACACGGGCATGACCCACAGCACATGGGGCACTTCCACGGGGTCCTGTGCGACAGTTATACCCCAAGATATTGCTGACTTTGCCTTTCTCACAGAGCTGTGAATCCTGAGGGAGGGGACAATTTCTTATTTGTCAATCTTTTCTTAGGACTTGGCAGACTGCATAAAATTCAATAAGCACTCAAGAAGTTTTAATGGACAAATCAAGCCAACACTTTTGTTCCCTGCAAAGGAGGGACTATGTTTAAAATATTCTTTCTCTTTTAAAGAAGTACTGGTGGGAATCTTTCAAATACACAAAAGAACTCTTACTTTATTGGTGCAGTTGCTCCTTCTGGCCTTCCAAGCTCAGAAAGGGGAACGAGATCCCATTTGAAGTGCAGCCCCCAGTTGAATCCTCCCCGCACCACCGGGGATGAGCTGTAGGCCAGCGTGTCTGCACTGATGATATCGATCACCGGGCACACCACAGTCCGCTGGTCGTGCTGGACGGCAGCCAGCAAGGGCTGCAGCCACATCACATTCACTTCACAGTGGCTGTCCAGGAACACCAGGACGTCTCCTGAGGACACAAACAACAGAGGCCCAGAGCTTCACAGCACTCAGCTCAGGAAACACAACTACACTCTTTCAGCCCACACAATGAAGCCATTACTCTACCGCCCATCAGAAACAGGACGTCTCTTACCAGGTATTCTGTGTGAAGTGTACTCCTCCTACTGAGGAATATAAACAAATAATATGTACAGCTCTTGAAAAAATGTACGATTTAGATTCTCCTCATTAAAAAGATTCAGTCTCACAGGAACACTTAAGTTTGCCAGACAGTCAGGTATGGAAAGTGATGTGGTGACAGTGGCGACAGTGGCCAGGTGTGTGTAGACATTCTGCCCTCAGTTTAGCATGCACTCCCGCCTCGGCAAGCAGTGGGCAGAGGGCGTGACTGCACTTTCCCTGGTGATACAACCATCAGTTACCCTCTCAGGACTGAGAGAAGCACAGGCGCCTCTCATGTCAGCGGCACGGCTCCCTTCTGTGGATCTGCCCTTGACTGACACACATTCATTTCTTTTTCTTCCATTTTCTACCTTTCATTTCAAACCCCCAACCTTGTTGGGTGTAGTGGCTCTCATCGGCCAATGGGATATACTGTTCTTCTGATCAGTAAAATAAAAATCATGAAGATTTTATCCTGTATTTTTAACTCCTCTTGATAAAAGTGAGGAGTGAGGGTTTCTTTGATAATCCCAAATTTCTTTGATAACTTCATGGCTATTCTGGGAAACTCTGAATCTCATCATCAGATTACTGTTCTACAAGGTTTATCCATGAAATACATTGAGATAGATTTTACATGAATTATTTAAAAGAACCTATTTCAATTTTTTAAAAGCACCTATTACCTATTTCAGGTAATGACAGCAGAAATACCTCAGGCAAGAAAGTTCTCCGTGATGACAGTGAGTCAGACATGTAAGTGCAATGTCTGTACACAGCTCACCAGACTCCTTTTAATACAGAAAGGCAAAACTGTTCAGCCTGTATACTATTCAATGTGACGTGAAGTCAGTTCACTCAAGGTTCCTTCGAGGAAAACATGTATTCATAGCTTTCAATTCTAAAATGTTAAATTGGTAATAATTGAGAAAAGTAACTAAATGAAGATTATATATATCTACTTGCACTGAACCTGAGAGTAACTTCACCAAAAGCGGCTTCTGACAGATCCTAAACTGTACTTGAACAAGGACCAGCAGACCAGAAAAGAAAAAACTAGGCACCTCTTACTATCTGAAAAAAAGAGTCTCAGTAATATTGTAACAGTAAAATGTTTCAAATGGTATAGTGTTGTCATTCCCCACAATTTTCTATCTCAATTCAGCAGGCTTTTGACTAGAATTCCAAAGAAGAAAAATCATAAACCTTGAATTCAATCTGCATATGAATGCAGACTGGATGCTAATTACTCCAGTTTACTGTGGGTTTAAGAGAAAGGAAGGAAGAAAGATTCTAAAAATGAAGTTCCAACTAAACCCAGAAAATGGGACAGCGAGTACACAGGGGTGGTGGTGGCAGCAAGCAGTGCCAACCACCTCAAACCCCAGTGACTGGTTATCTCGAGGAGGGTGCTGTACAGGAAGGTAGGAGCTGTTGTCAGTACTCAGGAATGACCCCCAAAGTTCTGGAATTCTCAAATTACCATCATGACTCTTTTTTTTTGCCATATCCATGCACTTACCTGCAATATTATATACCTAGTATTTTTTAACTGATTCATTTATTTTAACTCATTTAAAGAGAAAAAAATTTTTTTGATCAAAAGTATATATGAAAATCAGGATGACCAACTTCACAGAGGGGACCATAAAAACAAATACAATGGAACTGATATAAGGTACCTGGAGACTAACCAGGTACCTTTTCTGCAGAAGACTGAATCTGACACCTTTTCTTTCTATTTAAAAGGAAGAATGGTGCATATTAGAAAGGTTTTAAAGATAGATGAGTAATGGTGGAGACTTTATCTTTGATAGAATCAGAAGGATTGAGATGGAATGTTAAAGAAATTACCTTTATACTTGTATAAATCAATTTTTAATATTATGTCCATTTACCCAAATGAAATCATGATGCACCAGTGGTATGCCTCATACTTCAGGAGGTATTGGCATAATTCAAATCAAACATATATTTTAAACTGTGTATTGAAAAAATGACAAAAGTTCAGCTGTATTTTGGTTTGGACTCTCCTTATATAAGATGAACAGGACATAAAATGACTTGGGGGCGATAATGAACAGTAAGGGCCACTATGAAAATACATCAGTGGGACTGGCATTCACCTCCGAGGAGTGTGTGCTTTAGGATGGCAGGTCGGAGTTCTGAGAAGACCTCTCCCACCCTGAACGAGCCTCATTCCTCCTGCTGGCAGCACCCATCTAAGACACCACTTTTCACAGGCCTCTGCACCGTCAGCAAAGGCTCCAAGGACAGAGCCCTTGTCACTCAACACCCACCAAGAAAACACAATGGGAAGTTATACCTGTAGAGTGGGCTGCTCCAATCATTCTTCCTCGAATCAATCCCTCACGCTTTGCATTTCTTATTACTTTAACTTTTCCAGGGAGGTATTTTTGGACATATTCATCTAGTTCTCCTTTCAAATCATCTGCAAATAGAGGCCAATAATTATTCAAACCACATGAGACATGTACACAGATATATCCAAAGCAGATGGCTTGGAGCTCTTAGACCAGGGTTCTAATTTCAACTCCACCACTTAACAGCTATGGGATCTTGAGCAAACTACTTAGTATTTCCACCTCTGTAAAATGGGAATACAACCTACAACCTATCTCTCAAGGTAGCTGAGAACTGAATGACTAGCATAAATAAAAAGCCTTCCACCCTGCTGTGTGCACATGACAGCACTCTTAGGACTAGTCTATGCTGAATTACAGAAACGTGCATACAGTATGTACTGAACCATAAAGTGATGGCCTTAAGAGATCATCAAGGAGCTATCAGAATGCAATCCACTTTTACCTGGGGACGTTTGGTATAACAGACTTATTAGATAAAGCCAAGGCATTATACCCAGGGAAAAGAGCCAGTTTCAAAAGGCCACATGTGATTCCATTTATATAACATTCTTGAGATGACAAAATCATAAAGCGGAAAAAAAAGAAAAAAAGAAATAGAATATCATACAGGTTGCCAGAGTTATGGGATGATGGGGTCAAGGGAAGGGGGCTGAATATAGAGGGGTAGCATGAAGGAGATCTTTGGGGTGATGGAGTAGTACCTTGACTGCAGTGGGGATTACAGGAATCTACACATGGGATAAAATGACACAGAACTGCACACACATATTGTACCCATGTCAAATTCCTGATTTTGATATTGTAGCACAGTTAAGTCAGATGTAACCAATGGAGGAAACTGGGTAAAGAGACACAAGGACCTCTTTGTAACTTACTGACTAATCCATAGTTATACTGAAATAAAGATTTTTTTTTTTTTTAAAGATAGGCCAAGGGAAGAATTTCAAGGGTTAAATTTGGGTAGCTGTTTCTAAACAGATTAAAAAGATATGCCGTTTCCTCAAAATGAATGGCCAGGCATTTATCTGTGGTTGGCTCCACTGCAATTTCTTCCACCACGTATTCAAATGGTCAGCTCTGCTGATGTGATCAGTGCGATAGTGACCACCGCCCCGATCCCATATTACAGCATCCCTTACCGAAGTCACTGTTATCATCCACAAGAACGATTTCATGAAGAAGCCGGGCTGGCGTGCGGTCTAGGACGCTGTGCACTGTCCGGAGCAAGGCAGACAAGGCTTCGTTGTAGAAACAAATAACAACACTAGCAACTGGCAGATCCATCGGGTAAGATCTGTCTTTACATCTGCAAAGACGGATGGTGAGGGAATAACAACATTTTAAAAGGCTTGAATGTTTTAGATTATTATTCACTAAACATTAACTTCCCCTTGTTTAGCCTCTTTCTTACATTATAACAACAGTTTTTTAAAACGCACTTAAAAGAACAACGTAGTTTCTTCAGAGTTTTACATTTTACTAATAATTTCACCCTCTGATACCTGCTAGTTTGCTTATTTTTAGGTCAACGTTAATTTAAAAAATGAATTTTTTTTGTACAGAGGTTACATAACAATGTATTATTTTTACAGAAACCACTGCAAGTTCTTAATGCAGCACTCATAAGCAGACATCCCGCTTCACCTCAATGAGGTTTTGAACAAAAATATAAAACTTTATATTTGAAAATTTCACTTTTTGTCCAATCATACAAACTGTATCACGTTACTGGAAGGGCTTCCATGTGAGCAATGATATGTTAAGAAGGATGAGGTAGCTTTAAGCAACAACAATAAAAAGCCACTAACTTAGAGAACAAAATCCTTAATTCCACGTTCTTCTGCATGGCATACAAAACCTTCCATTGGCTGCGCCCTGCCAACCTCCATCCTCTAAGCACTCTTCCATGGTTTGTGTCAGTCCCTCTGACAAACCACACAGCTTCATGCCTCAGCCTACCCCCTGTGCGTGGGAACAGGGAGTACTGCATCATCGCTCAGTCAGCACCCTTGGCATAGCCTCCCTGACCACTTCGGTCTGGGGGCTCCCAGTTCACCAATTCCTCATTTTTGTGCTACCGCAATTACACCACTTTCCTTACCTACCTTCCCTGCTAGACTCTAAGCCCTGTGACCCAGGAACTGTCTTACTCTGTTTATTTCCGGGGCCTAATACAGTGTCTGGCAAACAGCGGTGCTCAAAACAGTCCATGGAATGACTGACTGACTAGGCATGTGAATGAAAAGCTCTGCAAATAAAAGTGAGGTGATGGGTGTAACTCTACACTGACTTTAATTCCTTTTGGCACAAATCCAATAAACAAAGTTATGTTCAGAAGGTTATGTAATTATATGCAGTTAGCACTTCCTTCCTTTTTCCCATATGATTTTAAATTGCAAGAGACATAGCAAGCTCTACAACTTTATTCGGCAATCTTAGACTACATAGCTTCAGGCGTAATAAGAGTAGAAATCTGCCTTAAGTTTCCTACTATCCTGAATAATGAAGCCTAACTGCAAAATATGAGCAGCGTGCTCATGATGTGCGTTGGCACCGAAAGCACTGCTACTAGAATGGGAGAGCAGGAACTAGTAAGGACCATACGCCACACTCCTGGTGTCTGGCACATCTCTATGGTAGCCCAAGCGGTTGCTAATCAGCACGTTGAAGGCGTGTTTCTGATAGCCCAAGTCTCTCAGCTCCTGGTCACGTTCATTAAAAATCATACCTGCCAAAGAGCAAAGTTACCATTAGTGTGTTAAGTCTGGAAAGGATTCTTACAATTACTATTATGATATTCTGATCACCTCTTGTAACCAAAAGCCAGGTTTCTCAAATCTAGGTTGCCTTTTCAAAAAACGAGGTTAAAGTTAAGTTTTTAATCATTCTAGCTCAAAAAGCAAGTGTACCTTAATGATAACTGATAACCACCCACTAGCCACAATTTTAAGAATATTTTCAAGAGAAAAACTTACCTATGACCAAGAAAAGAGAACTTAATGATTTTTCCCCAAAAGCATTAGATTACAGAACCCACAGGGACCTCAACAGGCCCCAATTATAGGCAAGTTTTTATATGAACCCCTTCCCTAAAAAAACACTGTTGACAGACTTTTCTATACATGTCTCCGGTTGCAGACTTTAATCGGCTTCACAGTTAAGAAATTCTTCCACAGACATAATCAGCATCACAATGTGACATTCTTGCTCTGATACTGTCAGAAATCTGTCCTTGACACACAATGAAAAAGTCTCCTTTTGCTTTCTTTCCCATGTCAAACTTTTAGCCTCTCCTCACAGAACGTCTCCCATGTACCAGCGTTTCCCAAAGAAAACTAATTCTACTGGACATTAATAGACATTAAAAAGAAAAAAAGATTTCGTGGTCAAGTGATTCAGAGAAACACCGGATTTTGAGAGTCAGATAGATTTCTCCTTTCTTTTTATGTCAGGACAATTCTGATCCTTTAATGATGCTGACTATTTTACGGAGATCCAGATGTGAGGGGATGGGGTACAGAATGCAGTGCTTCCTTAATTTATTTGACCACAGATGCCTCAAGACCACAGATTTCCAGATCCACTCTGGGAAACACTACCTCTTTCTATGCTTTCTCTATGGAACTTTTGAAGCTGGACTATATCCTTTTATAAATACAAAAGAACATACAAGGATGGAAACAGCACAGACTCTGGTTATATCCAAGACATAACAGAAATAAAAACTGCTTGATACCCAGTACCTACAACAGTGCCTTGTACAAATCAGAATCTCAATAAATACTCCTTGATTCAATGGCAACTACCTCATACTAAAAGGATTATTTTCTACTATATATAACCTCCTGATGAAAAATTATTTCCTACTAAAATATCATTTTATGTCCCTTGACAAATGATTGAAGTGTGTGTGTGTGTGTGTGTGTGTGTGTGTGTGTGTGTGTGTGTGTGCATGTGCACATGTGCACGTAATGTAATACTACTCAGTAATAAAAAAGAAGGAAACCTTGCCATTTACAATATGGCTGGACCTTGACAGCATTATGCCAAGTGAAATAAGCCAGAAAAAGACAAATACTGTGTGATCTTACTTTTTTGTGAAATCTAAAAACAAGCAAATTAATTGAAACAGAGGACAGACTTGTGTTGCCAGAGGTTAGGGGAGCAGGATAAGTGAGGGCAGTTGGGTGAAGGCAGTCAAAAGGTACAGACTTCCAGTTATAAGGTAAGTCAGTCCTGGGATGTAATGTACAGCATGGTGACTATAGTTAACAATACTGCACTGTATATTTGAAAGTTGCTAAGAGAATAGATCTTAAAGTTCTCATCACAAGAAAAAAAAAGGTAACTGTGAGGTGATGTTAACTAAACATATTAAATCATTTCACAATATATGCATAAACGAAATCATTATGTTGTACCCCTGAAACTAATACAACATTGTATGTCAATTATATCTCAATAAACTAGAAAAATCACTTCTTACTTTTCCCTCTCCCCTGCTCAAAGGTACAAATTTCAATTAATCACCACGCCAAAGGACCTAGAGTTCAACCTCATAAGTGCAAATTAAGTCAGAATATCGATTTTTAACCTTTTTGTTTGTAATTGTTGTTGGTAATCTATTTTTTCACAAGTTCTTTCCCCTGTTTAGAAATCAGCACACTTTTAACTATTACTATACTGATTTATATAAATTCCTTCTAAATTAAGTTTTCTTCACATAGGAAATTTGGTAGTTTTTCCCCTTTTTTTATTGTGGTAAAATAAAATGTACATCACATAAAATTGATCATCAGTAACATTTAGCACATTTACAATGTTGCACAACTACCACATCCAGATGCAGAACATCTATGCCACCCCAAAAGGAAACCCAGCATGCATCAAAGTAGTCACCCCCATTCTTCATTTCCCCAGCCCCTGGTGAGCACTATCGATCAGCTTTTAGTCTCTGAATTTGCCTGATGTGGACATTTCATGTAAACAGAGTCACAACATTTGACCTTTTGTGTCCTGCTTCTTTCACTTCTCAGGTCTCCAAGTTTCATCCAAGTTGTAGCACCTGGTATAACTAACTTCATTCCTTTTTATGCCTGGGTAAATATCCTACTGTATGGATATACATTTTGTTTGTCCCTTCATCCGCTGATAGACATTTAAGTTGTCTACACCTTTTACTATTGAGAATAGTGCTGCTATGAACATTCACGTACATATTTTGTTAGAACACTTATTTGCAATTCTTTTTGGGCAGTCTCCACCAAACTGGTTCCCCAGCAGATGGGCCATTTTACATTCATGCCAGCAGTGTATGAGAGTTCCAGTTACTCCACATCTTTAGCAACACTTTCTATTTTTCTTTTTTAGAAAATTTATAACCATCCTGGCAAGTGTGAAATGGTATCTCATTGTAGTTTTGGCTTGTATTTGTGTAATTATGTTGAACATCTTACCATGTACTTTTTGGCCATTTGTATATATTCTTAGAGAAATGTCTCTCAAATCCTTTGCCCATTTTTAAGCTGGGCTATTTGTCTTCTTATTGCTGAGTTGAAAGAGTTCTTTATATATTCTGAAGGAACTGTGCTAGAAATATGATTTGCAAACATTTTCTCCTATACTGTGGTTTTTCTTTTTTTTACTTCTTTGATAGTGTTCTTTTGATGTACAGATTTTTAATTTCAATGAAGTCAAATTTATTTTTTGTTTCTTGTACTTTTGATATCACATCTAAAAAATCACTACCAAATCCAAGGTCATGGAGATTGACCACTATGAATTCTTTTAAGGGTTTAAGGTTTTAGCTCTGAAACCCATTTTGAGTTAATTTTTATGTATGATATGAAATAAGGGTCCAACTTCATTCCTTTGTAAGGTATCTAGTTGTCCCAGCACCATTTGTTGGAAAGACTATCCCTTCCCCCATTAAAATGGTCTTGCACCTTTTTTGAACATCAGTTGACCTTAGAGGTCACAGGATTTACTTTTGGACTCTCAGTCTATCCACTGATCTGTATGTCTGCCCTTAGGCCAGTATTGCACGTTTTGATTACTGCAGCTTTGCAGGAACTTGAAATCAGATACTCAAGTCCTCCAACTTTGTTCTTTTTCAAAATTGTTTTGGGTTTCAGGCCCCTTGCAATTCCACATTATTTTTAGAATCAGCTTTGCCATCTTTTCAACAAAGGCCATGGGTATTCTGATAAGATCTGCACTGAATCTGTGCATTGCTTTGGGTAATACTGACATCCCAACAGGGTTCAGTCTTTTAATCCATGAACCAAGGATGTCTTACACTTTATAGGTTTGCTTTTATTTCAGTGTTGCAGTTTTCAGTGTACAATCTTACACCTCCTTGGTTACATTTATTCCTACATATTTTATTTTGTGATGCTATTTGTAACTCTGGAGGGAAAATATGTTCCCAGCCCAGGGCAAATAACTTTTGAAGCTGAAATCAGTCAAAGGGAGAAATAAAGTGGGAGAACCCCGTTTATTGCCTACAAGCAGTCATCTACTTCTGCTTGCCCATGTCTCTCACGACCTGGATGCAAAAGGACCCCACCACACCTCTCAATCACCTATTGATATGGAGATGTACAAAGGCCAGGCAAGAGATTCTGGAAATATTGCAATTTTACCCACACTATTGTATATGGAATTATTCTTATTTTCAGACCATTCATTGCTGGTATACAGAAATACAAACTGTTTTTGTGTGTTGATCATGTACCCTGCAACTTTGCTGAATTCATTTACTAGCTACAACAATATTCTGTATATTCCTTAGGACCTTCGAACAGTATTTAGTTTTTCAGTTCCAAGACTGAGTTTGTCACTGTGAGTATCTACAGTTCTTGCCCTGCTTCTTTGAAAGGTAAATACAAAGTCCATTCACAGCGGTAAGCCCAGTACTACTTCCTTATAAGTTTAACCAAAATGACTATGAACATAATAGCTAGAAATGTCCCTATTAATACTTTTAGAAATGTCTTAATGGTTGTTTGAAAAAGACTGGAAGGTGTATTTTACGAAAAGTGAAGTATTAGTTTGTTTCCTTGTATCATTAGAAAATCGTAAAGTCCTAGGAACTTATTTTATTTATTTGAAACTATAATCAAATGAAAAGAATCTGCTTAGCATTAAACAGATATTTTGTGGATCTTACAATCTCTTAAAATCTCTTACTATAATATATGCTTTTACTCCTAAGCTACTTATGATTTGATGCCTCTGTAACAAGATCAAAGTTCTTTAAAAGTTTAAAGATAATCGAAATGGCTAATTTATCCCTTAAAATTTGCTGAAACTAGTATTCCAGAATTATAGTCTTCAAAAAGATACACAGTAGATTCTTTCTTCCAAATATAAGACTATAAATTTTTAAGAAAAGTTTCTATTTTATACTGATATTACAGACTCCTACATTTAATAAATATATTCCAGCACCTTAATTCTCATACGTAGAAATGCTATTAGATATAAGTAAATCCAGATTATTTCTAAACCCAATGATTTATGTTGTTTTAATTAAGGTTGCCTCTCAAAATACCTTATATGTAGTTGTTACCTTTCAA